GGGGGGGGGGGGGGCACTAGCTCACGGAGTGGTTCATACGAAAACATCGCCTCGGGGGGGTTGTTGGCTTTCATTGGCCACTAGAAGGTGGGTGTTAGGGATTGATGCTTCAACACAAGGGTGTTGGTGGAAGCGACTCCCGCCACGACGCTCCACCCCCGCTGCCCGCCCCATAAGTAAACACCGGCAGGGGGTGTTGCAATTGACCAACGGTAGGATGATGACGATGCCAACCGCCGTCGTCGTTTCGTCTTCCTCCTCGAACCACCGTTCAACCTACCCCAATCGAACGATTGAGATCCCGCCTACGCCATGGGGATGTTAGCACCTACATTGAAGGAGGCCATGGGAACGTTGCTTGTATCTAAAACGTCCATGGGAATGTCACTTGCACTGAAGGAGGCCATGGGAACGTTGCTTACATCGAAAATGCCCACGTGAATGTAACTTGCATCGAACATTAAGCCCATGGTAATGTCACTTGCATCGACCAATACAGGTGCTGTGCAACGTGACCAAGCACAGGGGAGGCCTGGAGGCGGCGCTCGCGGCGTCACTTGTGGAGAACCTGATAGGCTTGTTGACGGAGGGGAGGCCGGCGGAGGTGCAGAGGGAGGCGTCGGTGACTCTGGCGATCGCCTGCTTCGACGACATGGCGAAGATCATCGCCATTCAGGTTTGTTGCTTGCTTCGATGACATGATGGCGAACATCATCGCCCAAGCCCCATCCAGCCTTGTGCATTTTCGATTGGTCGTTCACAGTTTTCAAGGCTTCGGTCGCGCTGTTGGTGGGGGGGGATCCCATCTTTTCTTTTTCCCGCGACGCCATGCAACAAGTGCAATGAAAAGGCGTCACGCGGATATTACCTTCGCTGTTCGCAGGAGTTATGTTTTCAAGTAGTCTTGAGCAAAGAATGGAACATTCATCGCTTAATCTGATTACTGTACCACGTCATCAATCTTGGTGAGAAAGAGCGAGGAAACGATTCGCGAACGGGAGAGAGGATATCGTACAGGAGGGCCAGTGGGGGAAGTAAACTGGGCGGGAATTGAGAGGGAACTGCCAGGGACAACCGTAGAATGCCCTTCGTCAGCCGAACCCAACAACAAAGTCTAAGGGCATGGCGCCCCTCCCCCCCACTGACAGCTACCGCTTGTGTCTCTTCCCGTCTCGGCTTCGTCTCTCTTTCCCTTTTGGGCTTTCATGGTTCCCCTTCCGGCTTTTTGCTTTTTCCCTCTCGGTTCTGACTCTGTGCTATTCGTGCCGCCACTCCCCACTCGGTATCTCCACTACGCCCCTCCCCTCATCACCCTTGCAACAGACTTGCCCCCCCCTCCGTCCCGGTCGTGTCACCTCGCATGCAACCCCCATACGGCTGGCCCTTCGTGCCCGTACCGCCCCCTTCCAATCAAATGCTTTTTTCGTTTCGTGGCACAGAACAACGGGGTCTCTATGCTGGCCGAGTTGGTTGCTAAGGCGGAGACAGACGTCAGGTCGGCGGCCACGGGCGCGTTGATGATGATCACCACAGTGGATGCGGGCGAGTAAACCTCAACACACGCTCCTTCGGCATCATTACAAGTCCACGCCGGGCTGGAGCACATGCTATTGTAACCGCTGAGCTCACTCCACTCTCGTACTACTATATCATCGTGCTGACCGTTGTTGTTGTAGTCAGTCGTAGTGAGTGGTTTCTCAGCTTTTGGCGCGACGAACTAACGGCCCCCCGCGGCTCCACTGTTGTGTGAAACCAAACGTACGGGGGCTTCAAAGCGATGGACCTCTTTCAAAGCAACTCTCACCAGCAACGTCGAACGGGAGACCGTGCAGTAGTTGCTTAGGAGACCAGTGGTGATTCGACCACACAAGCAAGTGTAGCTAGTGTGTGGTACGAAGTATAAATGAGGAAGACGTCCGTCCCCATTCGTCCCCGTCGTCCCCCTTTTCCCTACGCCTACCATCGCCTCGTTGGTGTTGTGCAGGAAAGCGCGCTATTTTGTCCACCTCTGCAGCCGAAGAGTCGGTGAAGGCGCTCGGGGAGCGCGACAACGTCTTGCTGCTCAACGCTCTCAAGCTCATCGCGAGCATTGCCGCTCACCCAGGTTTGAGAAAAGGGGGCGAAAAGGAAAGGCAAATGAATCTACCCCCCGCGCCTACGGCACAGAGTCATCTTCGTGTGACGACGCGGATTGGCCTGGGGTAGGCGGTAGTGAGAAGGAGAGGTGGGCTCTGAAAGGGGAGAAGGAAGAAAGGACAGGAGAGAGGGAGGCACGGAGGGGGGTTCGAAATGATACAGCTTTATGGTTGGTTAACTCTGCAGTAGACTGGTCGCCGAGTACGTGGGTGTATTGTGTGTGTTTTTTATTTTTTTTTATAGCATCGACCGCGCTAACCAGTTAACTAATGAAAAGACGTCAGTCTCAGAGCGGTTGAAAACACAAAAACACCTCGAATTGCCATTATGTGGGACCCCGTCAGTGGGGAGCATGGGGGAGACTACAGTAATCTATTATCAGGATCAAAGACAGAAACGGTAGCAACAGAGGAAAACTGCACGCGTTTACCAGTGTACTGCTGTGTGTTTGTTTTATTGGCATCGACTGCCTTGACCAATGAAAAGACGCCAGTCTAAGTTTGAAAACGCGAAAACAATGTGTGTAGACTATACATGAAACCTCCACGAGAGAGAGCCGAAAACGAACTAAACGCGTGTTGGCCCCATCTATTTAATCGAAGTATATATGTGCGTGGCCACACCAAGAAAGCCCACACGCACGTTCATGTCTATCAACAACGAAGGGGGGGGGGGGGCACCAAANGTGTAGACTATACATGAAACCTCCACGAGAGAGAGCCGAAAACGAACTAAACGCGTGTTGGCCCCATCTATTTAATCGAAGTATATATGTGCGTGGCCACACCAAGAAAGCCCACACGCACGTTCATGTCTATCAACAACGAAGGGGGGGGGGGAGCACCAAATGAATGAAAACAAGTGTAGCATATTGTAGGTTGAGTGTCACTCTGTCTACAGCAGCAAGGACAGATAGGTACGTTCTTGTCGGTTTTACGAACCAACCGATAGTCCATGGCGTTGCCTCTTCTCGTTTGCCGCGCGTGACGACGCAGACATCCGAGCCGAGCTGAAAGAGGACACGGCTTGCCTACCGGCCATCCGGAGGCTACAGGGAAGCGCAGACCCCATGATCGTAAAGCACGCCTCCATCGCCCTCGAGGCCGTGTTGTGGGAACCCTGATTCCGACGACCGATCACATCCACACAAAACCAGAAAACGCCTGTCGACGATGATGATGATGTATGTATGTCCTTGAGAACAGTATCCATTAGTAGTTGGCACGACCACACGCCATCGCCGGGCGTACGGGAAGCGGACCAGCGACATCAGCAGGGCATCGATACGTCTGTCTGTAGTACACCGGTGTGCGGGTTTTTCTCCTCAGTCCTCTATCTCTCCCCCCCCCAAACACCTGTCCCCAGGAATTTGTTTCGCTGCGTACGACTGGGATGCCGCATGGTAACGGCTGGCAAGAAGGATGACAGACGCCCTGCAGAAGTTTCCAAACTCCCCCGATGATCGATCACATCGATCGAAGCAAGTGGTCGTACTCGGTGTTCGTCTCGAGCGGAGGGGGGGGGCTCGGAGTGCACAGGGGCGGCGGGACTGCTGTGTAGCTTTTATGCCGACGAGGTGCATTATACATATCGATGTGAAAAGCCAATATCGGCGGTGTGTACATCCATTGCGTTGACCAATCAGCGAATCGCGTGCCACAAATGTTTTCCTCTCTTGGCACTCCGGTGACATAGCTCCATCGTTCGAGACGATGGTATACATGGAATCAACACACAGCACAGCAGCTTCGCTTTTTGTTTCCCGAAAGAGTAACGTGCAAGGGTCGCGACCCGGAGCGCAGGGCACGAGCGTTTTGCTGATCAGATGATGAGCGATGCCTTAACATTCACCATGCGCACGCAACCGTGTGCGAATTCCCACCGCACCTCTCACCGTCACATCGTGTAATAGTCGAAATCTCCGCTTTTTCCTGCTGACATCCACCACATAATAAATATACATATTACCAAGCACGAACCGAAATATGTCGCTAGTTGGAATCAACCTGTCACCTCCCACCCCCCCTCCCAAAATAAATGCATCAGAACTAAACTGCAAATTAAACGGAGGTGCTACATTGACTTCTCGATCGACACACGTTTAAAAAACGACTACACACACAAAACACAGAGCGGCGCCATTTGAGGCAACTGCCAGTGATGCTCTCCCCGAGCGGGTTGGCTGCTTCGCCATTTTCAGTGTCTTTCGCAGCCCAAGAATGTGGAGTAGGTCGCCCCAATAAAAAGTGGTCTTGATACAGCAGCAGCAGCAGCAGTAGCCGCGAAAACAGGTGGGAAATTCCGGACACCGATTCCATCGAAGGCGACGCCGCCAAACATGGCCAAAACCGACAAATTGTTAATTTATGAAATATTGTACTCTCTTCCTAAGCGTAAGACAGCAAGCACCAATAAGCACTTGATTGCCAGTTGACACCAGCCGTTGGCAGAAGGAAACCGGTGGGGTGGGGTGGGGGGGGCTCTAGTACCATCTGCACAACCCCACACCAAGCAATAGACGATAAACTTGAGCAAGCCGGAGTGTGCATCGACCACAAAAGAAAAAAAAAAGGAACACGTTTGAGTGCGCACCAAACAACACAAGGAACACCTCATGCTTTCCCCCGCCCAGTTTATTTCTGCATCTTGTAGCAGAACACTATATAGAACTACAATGATCGGTAACGGCCTTCGTTCCGAATGCCACCCCTAATCAAAACAAGCCCGAACATCATCAGCATTTTCGCAGGAGGTTCTGCAACCAGACGGACCGGCCACTCTGTCATCAACGATCCGGGCGTACCCCACCCTGCCTGTAGCACCGGCCCCTGCCTGCACGTTGTGGGGGCGCCGCAGGTACCACACCATCCACCTCTTAAGTGCCCCCCCCCCCC